CCAGTGCTGAAAGTGAAGCTTAATGAACGACAACGAAAATTAAAAGCAAAACAAGGAAGAACGCTATAGTCGAGTACCTCGACTATTAGATACCCGTTACTCAGCTAAATGGATCAATTTTTTGGATCAATCGATAGGTATTGACGAGACCAATACATTTCATTTAACATTTTTTATCTAGCATGAAAATTGTGGGCGTCACAGGTTTGGACGGCTTGTGGGCGTTAGGGTGGGCGTGACAAACTTTTTTTCGGCCTTTGATAGGTATTGATGAGAACAATACATTTCAGTTATTATTATATTATTATTCTAGCAGCAAAACTGTAAGAGCCACAGTTTTGGGCGGCTTGTGGGCGTTAGAGTGGGCGTGGCACTCTGCTGAAACAAACTTGCGCTGCGTAAGAAGCTCAGGAATCTGCACGCCAAATCTCAATTGCCTAGCTCTTATAGTATAGTTTCCGAGATCTCAGCGTTCATCCGGACAGACAGACGGACAGACGGACATGGCTAGATCGACCGGCTAGTGATCCTGATCAAGAATACTTTATGGGGTCGGAAACGCTTCCATCTGCCTGTTACATACTTTCCGACGAATCTAGTATACCCTTTTACTCTACGAGTAACGGGTATAACTACAAAAATTGAAAACGGAAACTTTACCTTATCAAAATTTTAAATATGTATCAGGACGTGAAAGGTTAAGGCGATCGGTTAGAACAAAAAATTCAGTACAAACTGGTAAAAATAAATTAAATTGGATTTCGTATCATTAACTTCCATAAAAAATCAAATATGGGTTATTTAAAAAAGATTTTTATCACATTGTTAAGTAATGACTCAATGAATGTTTTTCCTGACAACGTAAAATGTGCATTTGCAAACATTGTAAACATTTCAGAGGACATGGACGATGATTGGGAAGTCGGTATTACAGATATATATTTGAATAATTACATTAAATATACAACCAAGATAAAAATGTCGTCGAAGAAACGGAATTTGTTAGTCTTGTAAATGCTGAAACATTTAGGTATAAAAATGTATCCGTTCAAACGAATATACCTGAAAATGGATTGATTGTTATTTACACTGACATAATAAAACCAAGGTCAGTGGGTAGTAAAAGACCGCGATGCCTTCATGTATTGCATTATAATGGAAAGGAAAAAAAAATTCAATTTAAAAATATTGGATATTATCCTTTGGACATAAAACTAATTACTGATTCCAATGGATATAAGGTACTGTGGCGATCATGTTTTCTGCCATCTGGCATCGCTAAAAACTCCTTAGAAGAGATTGGTATCAAAAAACCTCTCTGGGCACACTCCTTGAAGAACCACGCTAAAAAGCCCACTAAGAAAAGAGATCTCAATTCTAAACAATCACTCAGTTATAACAAAGCACCAAAATATATATATTATAATCTAAGCATCCAAGTTCTGTGTTTAACTTAAGTGCAGGACCTACCTTGGTTTGAAGACAAACCATAATTGGTGACCCCAGACGATTCGAACATCTGAAGTCAAAGCGAACGCACCTCGACTTACTCAGAGCTTCAACATAACCTCAAAAAATGCCGGATAACGAAGACTTCGTCGACGCGCAGGAACCACTGCAAATTCCTGATGCGAGTGCTGTGAACTCGGTATTTGCCAAGATGCCCTTCCCTCAACTACATTCCATCACCAACATCGAAATGTTGCAAGGTCTCGGTGCACGCAAAGAACTGGAGAAATACGCAGCAGTAGTTGCGTATGCTGATCCCAGTATGATCCCCAAAAACCTGGATCAAGTGCACGTTCTTGTCAACAACCCACCACAAACAAACCCGTACTCAACCCTCAAGCAAGCAATTTTGTCAAAACTTGCCGAATCAGAGATGGTTACGGTCGTCCTAGTCATCTACTCAGCCAACCACAGCAAACTAACGCCACCAATGACGAATCGGTTGTACGCCTCTACTGGACCAAGCGTTTATCACCTCCAGCGCGTGCTGTAATCGTAGGTCTGCTCGAAAGCACTCCCAACACAACCCTGGCCCAGCTTGCAACTGCTGCCGATGCAGTGATGGATTCCCTTAACTACGACACTTCAGATCACATGTGTGCAGTATCACAGCAAAACGCCCACCACCAGCTGGTTAAACGCCTGGATGACAACGACAAGATGGTACAGCAGATCAACAACAAGCTGAGTCAGCTCCTTGGCACCACCAATCAGCAACGCGGTCGGAGCTATGTACAATCGCTCACCCAACAACAACAGCTCCGCAGTAACACACCATCCAGGGACAATTCTAACCCTCAATTATGCTGGTACCACAACAAGTACGCGGACAGTGCGTAACGTTGCATTCAACTGTGCTCTTTCCATGCCAACAACAATTAAAAAAACTAAGCTCCACCGTTGGAAATCAACAGGGCAGCTCCGACGGTCGTAACGCAAATGCCTCAAAACGCTACCCATTGTTCAAAGTAAATATCTGCAGAATTTCATCCTCCAACCGTCTCTTCGTTCCGGACTCCAAATCGGGTAAACATTTTCTCATCGACACTGGGGCTGACGTATCTGTTATACCACCAAAAACAATTAATCGAGACATCAAAGCTAATAATAACCATACGCTATTCGCAGCTAATGGAACAGCAATCCATACTTATGGTACCACCCGCCTTACGCTGAATCTCGGCTTGCGCCGCCCTTTCACGTGGATTTCTACCATAGCCGATACGAGAATCCCAATCATTGGCTCACACTTCTTGCAGCACTTTTATCACTTGGTTGATCTTAAAAACTCGAAGTTAGTTGATGTCGAAACACGCCTATCATGCTGCGGTATATTTAGCCAACAATCAATTGCGGAGATCAGGACATATAACATTCACTGCGAATTCTTCAAGCTACTGGAAGAATTTAAGGACATCACACAGCTTAACTCATCTCCCCCTCAAGCAACAACCGCCAACGTCACACACTGCATTGAAACCAAAGGCTCTCCACCATTCGCTAGGCCCAGAAGACTTACTCCAGAAAAATTCCAAGCAGCAAAAAGTGAGGTCCAGTATCTGGTCAACCTCGGCGTTTGCCGCGCGTCAAAAAGCCCTTACGCCTCCCCGTTACACATGGTCCGTAAGGCTATTGGTGAATGCCGTCCATGCGGCGGTTACCGAGCTCTCAATGCCCAAACCACCCCAGATCGGTGTCCCTTACCATACATTCAAGACTGCACTGGATTTTGTCTTCGCTTACGTCGATGACATCGCGGTTGCATCAGTTAACATGGAGCAGCACTAACTTCACCTCCGCAAAGTATTTTAACTACTGCGCCAATTCAACCTCACCCTTAATCCAGATAAATGTAGTTTCGGAAAGAAGTCGATCGATTTCTTAGGCCATCATATCTATTTAAACGGCATCAAACCACTGCCAGAAAAGGTAAAGACCATTTCGGATTTCCCTCTGCCCAAAGTCGCAAAGGAGCTACGCAGGTTCTTGGCAATGATTAACTTCTACAGGCGATTCTTGGCAAATGCAATTCAACATTAAGCACCGCTAAACCAACTTATCCCTGGAAATACGAAGAATGACTCAACTCCAATCACTTGGACTGCCGCCAGCATCAACGATTTCGATGAATGTAAGCGAACTCTTGTAGAGGCAACGTTACTTGTACACCCAGCACCCTCTGCGCCACTTTCTCTCTGCACAGATGCAAGCGATTTCGCAGTTGGATCAGTACTACATCAAGTCGTAGACGGCCAGTTTCAACCAATGGAGTTTTTCAGTATAGCACATATGATCGAGAGCTGCTCGCTATACCTCAGCATCAGACACTTTCGCGACATGCTAGAATTAAGAACGTTTGACATTCGCACAGACCATAAACCTTTGGTATACGCTTTTTCGCTAAAACCTGAAAGAGCCTCCCCACGACAACTTCGACAATTGGATTTCATTAGCCAATTCACTACCTCTATCCTGCATGTGGCTGGAATTAAAAACACTACCGCTGACGCGCTTTCCCATCTCAACCATCGAACGCGAAATAATTGACTACAACCAACTCAGCATCGCACAAGCAAGTTGAGAATAACTTAAACGGCTACTAAACGACAACACCAGTGCATTGCAGTTGAAGTCAATCAGCATTCCCAACTCTACCAACTCAATAATTTTCGATTTATCTATTTCCATCGTGCGACCTTTTGTTCCACAGCCTCTAAGGAAGAACGTCATCAGAAAACTACACAACATTTCTCACAGTGGAGTTGGATTAACGATAAAACTTATCAAGCAAAGCTTCGTATGGCCCTCAATGCACAAGGAGATTTCTCAATTTGTTAAACACTGTATACCTTGCCAAAAATCAAAGATTTCCAGACACGTCCGCTCGCCGCTGCAGCAGTTCACGCTTCCTACACAAAGATTCGACCACATCAACTTAGATCTCATCGGTCCATTACCACAATCATGTCAATATAGATACTGTTTAACAATCATTGACCGTTATACACGTTGGCCAGAAGCCATCGCAATCGAGGACATGCACGCCAACACGGTAGCCTCTGCACTCATCGGCTCGTGGATCTCAAGATTTGGAGTTCCAGCCCGCATCACAACGGATCAGGGCAGACAGTTTGAGTCCCAATTGTTTCATGAAGTGTCACGACTGCTAGGAATAGACCACCCAACAGCATGCTGTTAACCAATCTTCAAGACCTCGTACAATTAGACTTCCTGTTCGTTTTACATCATGAAGTCTAGGGGGAGTACTGTGGCGATCATGTTTCCTGCCATCTAGCATCGCTAAAAACTCCTCAGAAGAGATTGGTATCAAAAAACCTCTCTGGGCACACTCCTTGAAGAACCACGCTAAGAAGCCCACTAAGAAAAGAGATCTCAATTCTGAACAATCACTCGGTTATAACAAAGTACCAAAATATATTTATTATAATCTAAGCATCCAAGTTCTGTGTTAACTTAAGTGCAGGACTTACCTTGGTTTGAAGACAAACCATAGTACCATTTGAAACTTCAGCTGTTCCGATTTTCGTTACTCTTCACTTTAGAAGAAGGAGAAGGTCAGGACTATAAATAATGCATACCCAAATATTATTTATTTAGAACTAAAATAGTCATTATGGTGAAATCTTATCAAGATTATTATGTAAATCAGTGTGGTGGGGGCTTAAGCAACATCGGAAGTCTTTACATATCTCCGCATATAGTGCAACAAGGACCAGGAATCGGAAATTTTTTTAGCGTTCTTTTTAATTACATAAAACCACTTTTTCTTTCGGGTATAACTACTATAAAAAATTAGCCTGCTGAGACTGGTAAGGCTGTAAACAATGAATTTGGGAGAAAGCCTTTAAGAAATATAATTTAAGAACAAATTGCTTTACAAAATCTTTCAAATAAAGCAATTGATAATAAAGCATTTGAACTCTATCTTCAAACCAGTGATTGATGTATCTGATGTTCTTCAGAGTCTTAATACTCTCAAGCTCTCATTTTCTCCGGGACCTGATAGAATACCAAGTTGTATACTTAGGAATTGTTCATCTTATCTTGCTCTTCCCGTAACATTGATATTTAATCTGTCCCTAAGTCAATGTAGATTTCCATCCATATGGAAGGAATCCTTTATTATCCCATTGCTTAAAAAAGGGAACAAGTCCGATATCTCAAACTATCGCGGTATTGCTAAACTCAGTTCTATTCCTAAACTTTTTGAAAAAATTATTACCTGTCAGTTGCAGCATCATTGCAGGTCTATTATTTCACCTTGTCAGCATGGCTTCACTAGATGTCGCTCTACTTCTACAAACCTACTTGAATCTACGTCTTTAATTACTACAGGTTTTCTGACACATCATCAAACTGATGTGATTTATACCGATTTCTCTAAAGCTTTTGATTCAGTGAACCATAGGATTCTTATTTATAAACTGTCCCTTTTAGGTTTTCCTACTAGAGTGGATACTTTCCTACCTTTCTAATAGAACTCAAATGGTCTGTTTTAATAATAAAACTTCCAAAATAATTAATGTTACTTTTGGAGTGCCACAGGGTAGCCACCTGGGACCTTTACTTTTTGGCTTAATGATTAATGATCTACCTTATGTCATAAAAACGTTAACTGTTTTAATGTATGCAGATGATGTCAAGCTATGTTTGTCCATGTGTTTACCTAATTCATATAATGTCCTTCAATTAGATCTTCATTGTGTGTATACGTGGTGCATGATTAACATGTTGAATTTGAACTATTCTAAATGTAACTTTATGACCTTTTATCGTTGTAATCCATCTCTGTATTCTTATTCTATCGGAAATAACGCCCTTGAACGTATTTTTTCTGTTCAGGATCTTGGCGTTCTATTTGATCACAAACTTAGATTTAAAGACCATATATCTACTATAACTAACAAAGCCAGAAGTCTCCTGGCGTTTATGAAGCGCTGGTCAAGGGAGTTTGATGATCCATACACAACAAAGCTTTTGTATGTTTCTCTTGTTCGTCCCTCAATGGAATATTGCTCGTGTATATGGTCACCTCAAATTAGCTGTTACCAAAATATGTTAGAGTCCGTTCAAAAACAATTCCTTTTATTTGCTTTGAGAGGTTTAAGCTGGGACACAGGAAGTCGATTGCCCTCGTATCATGCGAGGTTGCGCCTGCTGGACTTACCAACCCTGAACCATCGTAGAAAGTGTCATGGAGTTACGATTTTGCATAAATTAATTAATGGTGATGTCGACTCTCCCTTCCTTCTTAGTTCCCTCAACTGGAGTGTACCCTGTAGAACAGTTCGTCGTTTTCGTCCGTTGTCCCTGCCAATTTGTAGATCCAATTATGCCCTTCATGATCCTTTTCGGGTTCTTTGTGACGACTATAATGCACTGTGTCACGTCTTACTGTTTGATAGCCCTAATGCAACTAATTATGATAAACTTATGTATTTTCTATCTTCCAATAATTTGTAAATTTCTATGTTACTAGCCATTCTATGTGAGCATGTATTTTAAACTGTCTATTGTTATTTCGTCTTTTTCCATGTCCGCGATTTCGTTTTCTTGCCCAAATCGGTTAAGGGCTCCGCGCGTAACAAGCATTGCTTGTTGTCGTAAGGGCCACTTGTTTGTACTGATCATAGTGCATCAATGTCCAAGAATAAAATTACTCGTTTTCAAAGTGGAAGTGGAAAAGGCTAGGTAATAGGAAAAAACAACTTCATTATACATATAAACGACAACGTAAACATACCCAAACGCAACATAAAAAAAAAATCAACAAGAAAATTAAATATTAAAGATATTTTTTCTGAAGCAAAATGAGTACGCATATCGAATGTATGAAAAGTGAATTAGATTTGTTTGCGGCACACCCCACTCAAAGTTCTATTCTAAGAGCTGAAGAGGTCTCATACAATCTAATTGCTTCTTTGGACGGCGCCTCTTCAATCGAATTGGTTTGCTTGGGAAATGGTGAAACGTATCGAGATTTATCAAGTGTTTATTTACGACTTGTTGTGCAACTTAAAAAAATTGATAGCAGCAGCATTGAAGGAAATGCTCTTGGTTCTGTAAACAATATTCTACATTCAATATTTAGAAGTTCGTCAGTTTATTTAGATAACTTAAACTATTATTTTCCAAATTTTGGAAGAATAACAGCAGGGAAATATGTTTATTCGGACTCGAATGAGACCCTTAAAAATATGTTTCAAAATAGTAACAAGGTTGAGTTATTCGGAAAAGTTCATGCAGATATTTTTAATCAAAACAAACTGCTTGTTAACAATGTTGATTTAAGAATGAATTTCAATATTGAAAAAAAACGTTTTATTTAACGGAAAGTGGCACTGAATCAAATTTAAAGATACTTAAAGCACAACTTTTCATGAACCATATAACAGTTAACCCAAGCATTTTATTGGCTCATCATCATGCTTTACAAACAAAAAATGCTCTGTACCCATTCAGCAAGGTTGAAGTCAAATCATTTACAATATATCCGGGCAACAATACACTGTCGATGTAGACAATGCAGTTATCGGTCAAATATTAAATTTCCTGGCCTTTTGTATGGTTAAAAACCGCTCATACTCAGGAAACCGAGCCTTAGACCCATTTTAATTTGAACATTTTAAAATTCAACGCTTTAACCTATTGGTTAATGGAGTTCAAGTTACTTCCCTGGGCTCTGGAGTTCGATTACTCGAACGCTGAAAAGGTTCAAAGCTCAAGAGGTTATAATATGCTTTTTAGATCATGTGGAATTAAACACTACGATCGTGGACTACAAATTACCAAGGAAATGTTTTATTCAAACAGTTTTACATTAGCCTTTGACTTAACTGCTGATCAATCAAATTCAACTATATGTTCAAATTTAATCTCTCAAGGTACTATAAGAATCGAAGGAAGATGTTCGGAACCACTTGCTGAAGCAGTTACTTGCTTGGTATACTGTGAATACGATTCAATGATTGATATTGATAAGCATAGAAACATTCGTACGCTCTTTTAAAATGAATACTTTACAAATTGAACATTTTCTTTGTAAGCATTCAAAGACAAAATCTATTTTTAAAGGAGTTTTTCCCTCGGATAGGTTACCAAAAACTAACTAACTAACTAAGTATCCCGCAGTAATAATTGCGAATACCGACACTTCAGATCAACCTGGAACTCATTGGATTGCATTTTATTTTGACAGTCGTAGGTCAGCAGAGTTTTTCGATTCATATGGTCAATATCCCTAGAAAAAAGGAAATTTAAAAATTAAAATCGTACGCTTATAAATTTGTTTAATAAGCAATAACTACAGGGATTCTTTTCTAACACTTGCGCACATTGTTGTATGCTGTAAAGTCTTTTTAAAAATAAAAAAAACCTGATTTTTTTAAAGAAAATTCAAGAAAAAGGACTATTTTTTTAATGATAAATTAATAATAAAAATGTTTAAGAACCATTTAAAAAAAATAGAAAACATAAATATTTAAGTAAAATCATCTGGTTTTATTTATGGTTTTGGAGCAATACGTTTGTTTAACTTATAATATTTAATCATTAGCCTAAGGGCTTCCTCTTTCAGTGAAGGCAGCATATGACACTGACATGTGTCTGCTCCAGATGAGGCATCGTCGTCGCCCCAGGGACAAAGTTTATAATGGAATCCAAACTTCGAATGGATCAACTCGTTTTCCTCTTAATTCTCCAAAGTAGCTTTTAGGAACTCCATTCTTTGTAGGTTTTGCTCGAAAAGCATGCCTTCAAATTGCATCAAGAATAGTTCTATCTGTTGAGCGAACAGTTTTAAGGAAAACTATTTCTTTTTCAGACTGATTTAAGACTGTTGTTGGATTTAAGAACTCAGCTCTTTATATTGAAGAATTTTATTTACTTTACTTATTTACTGATAAAAATTCAATTTGAGCACAACTATATCTGTTCAGATCTTTTCCTTTATATACCAAATGAGTTATTCCATTCTCATTTAATATCCTAAATGGTGTCTTTGTAGAAAATTTGTTCACATAACTTTTAGGTAGAAATATCCAAACATCTTTGTCGTCCTTATCAGTTAAATACAGAGCTATTTTAGCTCCATATGGTGTCTTTTTCAGCTTACATCCAGTGGTCTTATACTCAAATCCAATACATAGATTTTCAGTTTTTGTGTAGCCAATCACAGGCTTCACTTCATTTAAGGTCTCTAAGAAGTCCTATCAAATTCACCAAGATTAGTTGATAAAGTATTTACTTTTAATTTAAATGATTACTATTTTTGATCAGCGTAAGATTGGATTCGTTGTGCACTAGTACCTAACTGTTGTATACTAATTCTTTAACCCGAAATTACATGGTCTTTTATACTTGTCAAAAACTATATATTTCCATCAATTCATGTGGAGTAAATGAGATAACGAAATGTCTTCATTATATGTACCAAAATACTTATTCAAACGATGTAATACTTGAGAATAAAGTCAGAAATACATATCCGTATGTCTATCT